TTAAAATGTTGCGTATTCCGAGAACTGTCGTCGACATCAAGGATTTTCACATGCGATTCGCGACGTAAATTACAATTACACCGCCGCTACGTTTCCCAGCACGTGGGAAATATATTATCGGGCGGTCACGAGGGAATAATATGCTTTATTGCGGACGGGATCTTCGCGACCGAACCCGAGGTAATAACGCGCGGCTGGAATAATAAAAGCCCATCGATTTGATCGGATACTTGCACAATGTGCAACGATCGTGGTATCGAGAGACAGTGTTCCGTCGAGATATACAGTGGGTCGCAAAAGTATTTAAACATCTCTCTCTTCGGGTTTAATTTTTAATGCAAATGTATCTTTCGCATGCTTGACAATTTCGCGCGTTAATCACTGCCCCACGGCACACACGTTGCATGCCCACTTTTTGCTACGATTTATATTTTAATGGTACGAATAGCCTTCGGCTACTCTTTTTTTATCGATAGTTTTGTTATTCATTTTACGCGACGCTGCTTGGAACAAACATATTTTCTTGATAACCATGCAACGTTTTCAACGACGAAGCCTAGTTTTTTCTTCGTGCGAATAAAGGCTGACGCCGGTTGATTCACGGGACGACATTGTCCACGAAAGCTTGACCGATGAAACGGCCAGTCGGAGCTTGTATCGCTGGAAAACTTCGTACACAATTCCCGGTATAATTAAAATTTAGGTTGACGCCTTGCTTCCGACACGGGAGCATGTATTTTCTTTTCTTTTAATTTCAAGGAAAAAATAGACGATCGTGAGAAAGAAATACAGAATTTTTACTTGGTTAGAAGTTTAACGATACATCTTCGATGTATTGCACAGAGTTTCAAGCAGACAGTTGTCATCGCCAATCAGATACAACACGACTTATCCGATTAGAATATCTTTGTAAACGTTAAGAAAGAAGTTTGACACGCTGCCAGTCGAGAATAACATACAACGCATATAAATTTGTTGAAATATATCTCGGCGAAATTTTCATTATTTTTTCTTTCCTAACGTTGAAAAGTATGGTGATACGATTAATAAAAGAGTTTCACATATATTTTTGTCATAACTAACAGTGTACAGTTACAACTCCTGTTACGACACGTGTAACGTACAAGAGTGCAAAATATGTGATTAAAATCGATGAGTATCATTCCTGACATTCCTCTCGCAGGAATAACAAACGTATTTTTTCAATGGACAGTCGGGCGTTTCTTATTTCCTTTCCGAACGACACCGAGCCGTCCGTCATTCGACACCGACGACCGGGTCTCCGAGCTTCGATTTTCCAAGCTCCCGTTCCGAGAACGGTTTCGAAGTCGTTCCATTGTCCGTGGACGTTTTTGCGAAACATCTGGCGGGAAGACCGTCGGACGCAGGTGTCGCAGGAAATTTCGAAACAGTCTGTGCTTACGTGCACGCCGAGAACCACCTTTCTCCCTTCCGATGGAAGTCCCCGGCGCGATTCTCTTTCTGCCTTGTACATCGGCTGGAAACCCGTTTACAGCGCGCCCCGGGACGACGACCAAATTGCACGCAACTCCATCGACGATCCAACGACGAACACCGGGCGTTTATCGCGTTCGAACGTCCCGCGAAAACGCGACGCGCTGCTGTCATGGCGGACAGAGCGCTCGTAACGAAAGGGTTAAACGCATCTGGGGACAAATGCCGATTATGCGAAAGTTCGTATAATTTTATGGACGTGGAAGACAAGGGAGATACGAATTGGCAAATTTGCCCTCGGATATCCCGCTTTATTGGCCGATTATCATATTTTTATGCGTGGCATCTGTGCAGTTTGGAGCTACGCCAGGACGTTATCTATCGTAGATCGATAAAGTGGCTTCTGAGCGTGGATAATGTACGGCGTTGTGATAGTGCAACCTTGTCCGGCGGGTTTGTGAAATCTATGCTCGTGCTCGACTATTCTTAGTTCATAGTTTTATATTTGTCAAACAAAATTGGGTAATCGAGGATCCTCCATGCTCATAAGATTAAAAAAAAAAGCAATAAATTAGCGGTGCGATGTTGGGTGGGCGAGTAGGACGTCTGGCTAGTAGTCTGGAGGTCGCGAGTTCGAAAAACCCCACAGCGTGTGTCTCGTATATTTTCTTCGATTCCTACAATATTATATACCTTCTTTTATTGCAACATATTTTCTACAATAGTAGCTCCTCTCCTAAAGACAAGTGAAAATTAGGCAAAAAAAGCTTTTCTGTAACCCCATCATCGTGTTTGAGATTAAAAAACCCCAAAAATGAGGAAAAAAACGTTCGAAAGACAGACCCACGACTCCGCAGAAGGGAAGGAAAAAAAGAAGAGTCATGGAGAAGGCAAAAAAAGGCAAGGGTGGGGTGTGTTATTTATCGTTACGGGATGAATATAACCGCGTACGAGCGGAATCGTTCCGGAACTTGTTCAAGGAGGACGGGGGGAGACGGTCTGTCGGACGCTTTTGTAATTTCAATAAACGACCGATTTTCGGTGGCGTCGTATCCCACGATCGCGATAAAGCGATTCGACGGGGGCTCGTGAATGTGAAATCGTCCGAAGTATTAACCAGCGCCGCCTGTTCCCCTTTATAGCACGCCTGAATTGCCCACGCAACAGTTGAAATTGCTTCGTAACGTTAACGTGGCTGTTGAACATGGACGGCGACGCTCTCGCGTGTTTACAGTTGCCTTTAAATGAAACCCGGGCTCGCCAGTTACGAGGAAATAATTATCGGACGCGGTCGTTAAATCCCCCAGACTTTTGGATAAAATTACTATATGGGCCACGACGTGGGGGGTTTCGTTTATAAAATTAAAAGGGGTGGGAGTCAAGATGGGTGTTAAACCCACAAAGTAAAATCATTATGTAACTTTAGTGCATATGAATCATCGGTATCAGGTCACAGAGACGCCCACGTCCACGGTAAGAAAATCTGAATTACTATTTTCTCCTTGCAGAACCATTTTCTATTCCGGTATTGTGCCTGGCGTTCGCTCGTTTACGTCCAAAGCACTTATTTCTATTTATTACGTAACTCGATCGTCTCGTGCTTTCAGGAAAAGTAAACGAAAGTAGTCCGCTCGAAGGTTTTCAATGCATTTTCATTTACCTTTGGAAACCCTCTGCAATTTCCTCACCGCGAAGATTGGAACAATAATTAACGTTTTCGAGATCTGTTTTTCAGCGACGATAGACCGCACGTTTCATGTTTTCGTTAGCGGACCGATTGGCCCGATGGTCGAATTTATTATTTATATCTCCTACGACCGCGTACTCGCGACAGTGGGCTTTATTGACTCCACTTCTATCCACATATTTATAGACACGTGAAATATTGCCGCCGCGTACCTACGCGTTTCCCGTTTACGTGGAAATCTATACGCACTCGAGGCAAGATCCAAACAGTAACTCGTTACCGGTCAGTTGCAACACTAACTGTACATCCGCGTAAATCTTGATACCGGCGACACAGGATTGATCCATCCGACCGTTTTTAACCACGAGCAACGGTTCTTTCGCGGTTGCATACGCTTGCCCCGCGACTATGGTTGCAACTATTCCAATACATTATACGCATTCGAGCATTACTGTTGCAATATTACAAGCTATAGTAGCTTTGAACTTTGTGGTAGGATTGCAATTTATTAATCAAGCGCTCTAGTAACATTTTAATTATGCCCGTCGAATATTCAAAAGCAGAACGATTCTACAAGCATTCCTACCGTTTTTAAACCATATTTCTGTTACGACTGTTTATTTGTTGTCTGTTACACGTCGGGTCCCGTGTCGAGCGAGCATTTCGATCGTTCAGAGGGCAAGCTGCCAAACGTGACACTGTCCCGCTTCCAAAAATACCGGGGTCCGTTAGTGGTAGAGACATTTTGGCGATTATTCGTCGTTAATTTTTCCATTGTTTCCATACGGTGAACACTCGATGAAAGTTCTCTCGACTGAAAGTTAATGTGGCAGTAATCTACCAATTACTAACCTAAAAATTTTAGGTTAGTATCTTAGGTTGTAAAATATATCCATCGGAAAATGTTTTATCGCCTTGAAAATAAAAATGGATAGATCCGAATCGAGAGGAATTCACATCCGTGTCGGGGAAATTCGTCCAAAAATAGAAGATGGTTGGATTCGTCAGGGTAGACCGGTGATCGAATTAAAGTGTCCATAGCAATTAGCGCCGGGCGATGGCAGCACCGTTCCGAATCGACCGAGTCCGGCTCGAGTTTACGCCCATCCGCGTTCCGATATTCTTTCGTCGAGTTCTTGTATACCCCCGACCCTGATTTCTCGCGAAATTATGCAAATTGCATCGTTCGGATCGTTTCTCTTTCTTCGGGGAACATACACCGTCCCGTTTAATGCTTCTTTTATTCTCTTAATAAATTCCATATCGGTTAAACTCTTAACATGGAACCCGGATGGCCGATTAATCCAACAATATCATTTATACGTTTCGAACGAGATAAAAATACACGGAACAGGATGTGCGAGACGTAATTGTTTATTCGACTTTTATTTATCCGAACTGCAATCACGTTGACCGCTTATTCTTAGTTATTCTTACGTATTATTTTATTTCTATGTACTGTTAACCCCTTAACGCTCATATTTTTCGGGTTAATCAAGAATGATCAGTTTTCTTTATTGGATTTGTTTCTAAAAATGCGGTTTTTGTTAATTACAATGTTGTATCCAACGTATAAATTGAAGGAAAACAAATATTATCATCCCTTAAACCGTTAGATTAAACAAATATCGTTTTTCAAAGCAGTCAGACTCGGGCATGAACGTTAAGGGGTTAATGAAAAATGAAAGTATATGTTTGCCTTGCTTGATGTTAATCATGTATGTACTTCGAGCGAATCGTTTGTTTTTCCCCGATTGCATTATTGTTATAATTTTCTTGATTTTTATTTTAAGCATTATCTGCACGTAGATGCATGTATTCTCACTGCCGTTGTTTTGGATTGTTTGTTGCATCCCAGGTCCAGGCGAATGTCCCAGGATGTCACGCATTCGAGATCAACGGAAAACCTCACCGCATCTTATTTCAGGTATGTGAATTAGAAACTGGATTTGAATGGCGGACGAACAGCAAACACAAAAATACAAAATAGATTTAGATTATTCCTTTTACTTTAATAACAGGAAATAAAAATGATGGCACGCGTACGACAGAAAGGGTTAATAAAATTGATAATATCGTGAATGGCAGGAAACTGCCATAAACCAGAGAGCACTTATCGAATTTCACTCGTTACCTGTTGCTGCGCCAGCTAATTTAGTTTGCGCCTCCTGTTCCCCTCATTCATGAAATTTGTTTTTTTTCCCCTCCCAACATGGTAATTTCATTCACGGAAGTCCCATTGTTGCTTGCTATCTTCGTCGGCCATTCTACTGTACATTCGTCTTGTAGAGTTCATTAATACCACGCATGGTTCGTTGCATTGTAAAATTACATTCTGTCACGCCTCACTGGCCTCGCTTTTTGCAGAGAAAACTATGCGCGAATAATTCCACGTTTTACCTGTTCGTCTGAATTACCTCAATTTACATATTCTTTTTTTTTCTTTTTTTCCTACATACAGTACTTGCTGAAATTTATAGAATTATCTATGAACATCGTTTAGTATTAAAAAAAAAATTATCACAGTTAGGAATAAAAGTTAAATAATTAGTAATTAGTAATGGTCCAAGGTTTGATCCCATCTATTTGTTATATAAATTTTCCTCTCGATAAATGTTCTTAAAATAGAGACTATGAATGTAAGGAGAAAGCGTCGAGCGATCGATATTAATCGTTAATCGATCGTTTCCTTTCGCAGGAGCAAGAGCCGCAGCGTGGATCACGGATTCACGACGCCTTTCGATTTGGATTCTTTGCGGAACAAGGTCGAAGGACGCTTCGAGTCCGTCGATAAGCTCTCGAAGGGTGAGTGATCTCTTTAAATCCACCGATACGTATACCGGGTAGAGCGAGAAATACGCGGAAGCGCAGCGTCGATAGCTTGAGGAATTAACGATTCGCGGTCTGCCGTGGATCACGATCCAGACCGGACGAAGGTCTCCTGGTAGGCGCTAAGAGTCGGACGCAACCTTACTCATGCGAATTACATTGACTTACTTTCTTAAAGTGGCACAAACGCCAGGTTTGATCGATCGCTTCTCGCGCGTTCCTTTAATCGACATTCTTCGGGCGAGATTTATCCGCGAATTTCTCGCTAGTTTTCCAACGACAGCCCGCATCAGTGTTTCTCAAACTCATATTACCCGTAGGACACCCGATCGAATTGTGTCTCGTCTTTGTACGCAACGTATACGCAAAAATAACGAGAATGTTTTTTAAGCCAGAGTAGAAAAGCGCGATAAAGTATGCATCGCAACAGGAAGGACCGGCGTGGCTCGTTAAACGGGATTTAATAATTAATTAGCCCGCTATAAGCGAGCTCGCTTTAATAAAGTAACAGGCTACACGTAAGCACGTTCGTTGAACGCGAGTAATCAAAAACCGATAAACTATCTATAATGCTCGACGATTCTGGCTCCCGTTCGAATTATTATAAATATTTATTGTTGCCAGCGCGAAATAATGCACGAATCGGCCGGAGCAAATTAATTAACGATGTTAACAAAAATGAAGTTGAATCTCTAGCCAGTATACTCGCGTGCAATTTTTATCCATACTTGAAATTATATCGTGTTTGGATCTCGTAAGATAAGCATCGGTCCACGGTTGGCCTGCTCGTCTTCTTTCGTACAGTGGAGGTGAAATTCGACACCTGCAGACGATATATCCTTGAGCCTTCGAATGAAAAAAAAACCGTTGTCATTCACGCTTCGCTAGCTCTGGGGGGATCCCCCCAGTTGGTAGGGGTTAGAAACGTCTGGAGTTTATTTTAAGAATTCTTACTATGTTTTGAGCCTGCAACGTTGACCCGCCGTGAACAAAGCATATCTTGTCTCGAATGCAGCTGGAATAACAGCGAACGGGGATCTGAAACGAAGCTTCCGCGATTAAGTTCTCATTATTGTTTCGTTTAAGGGGATACGATATCGACATCGATATCCCGCCGGAGAAACGTTGTCGTTTCAGGGGCGTAGATTGGCCGGAAAATTTAAATCCTGGCCATCCTGGTGGCCTCAGCCTAGCACTTTATTAAACACAGAATCCGTGTCAGCCGCGCGACTAACCCAGATACCGTGCATCGAGCATTCATAACACACGAGTGTATACGCGCGCCAGTGTGCCTTTAATGGTCGGCGAGGATTTGCCAAATGACAGTCGACCGAATTCCCGGTTGTTCGTGGAAATTTATCTAATTACCAGCTGCAGGGGAGATCGACGGTAATCGCGGAATTTGTCAGGCTGTTTTAACTCCGGCTACATCTCTGTCAGGAGCCGTATCTCCTGGAACAGTGCAAGGATTAACATTCGGGATCACTACTTATCATTGTTTAAAAGAATGTTATTTTAAATGCTCCCGTAGGCTGCGGCGTCTTTCTTATCATCCACTAGATTGCATTCCTGCCAAACTATTTGCAACGTTTACCGACAGATGTCACTGAATGACTAGAGAAACGCTCAAGTTGAAATAAATCCTGTTTATGGGGAAGAAATAATTATTTTATATTTAAAATTTTGTAATATATTAATTTATTTGGTTTTCGTAAAATTATCTTTACCGTTTAACGATGAATTTTTTATTAGAAGCTTTAAAAAGTAAACGTCAAATCTGAGGGAGCAATGATTGGAAACTTGATGGGTTAAAAGCATTCCCAAATTATTTCAGCGAATTCTCTGCCACTAGGGAACAAGTGCGATCGTCCTTTATTTATTTATTTGCTCGGCAAACGAGTTATCCCGCTTCTCATGCACTCTTCCATATTCGTACAGTAAATAAAGTTGACTTTCAATCTCCAACCTTACTCAATTACTCACACAAGATTAATTTGACGTGCAAGGTATGCAGAGGACATTCGTAATGTCAACTTGAAAATTACGTGAGCATACAGTGATAAATGCAAGTAACTTGGATCAGTGTTTCTCAAACATTTTTGATTGGGGGCCACTGGTCTACCCTCGACTACGTGGAATGCAAACGTACTATTCAACTGTCGTAGAAAAGGATAGCAAGTTCTTTATCGCGAATGCAGTTTTGGTTCCACATCCGCGGATCACTATTCGTTTAATCGGGACTCGTTGGCTCAACTTCCTGTCGTTCGATCCAGCGTTGACCATCGAACGAGTTAATAAATACCAAGTCTGATATATTTCGATCGCACTGCATTGGAAGCAGTATCGATTCGTAGAGCCTTACCTTGTCTTACCGAGAAGATAAGACACGAGTACAGGTATCTCGATAAACCACGTACAATGAAATTAAATAATCGCGCCAACGATGACGTGATCGCAACATGGCAGTGATCGTCGGTCGAGCGTGTGACTAGCGCGAGTAGTCGTTGCGTGTCGTCAGTCAGAGAACACGGCGTCTCTGCGAGTAGTTTTTTATTTTTTTCTATTTCTTTTTTACATCGACGAAATACCACACCCGGACGATCGACGGGTTCGTCCATTTTATTCGGCGCCAGATCTCGCGTTCGGAGCGCAAACAACGGGAAATTATTATTGTGAAAACGCGTGTCTCGCGCGTGAACTAGTCGATAACGAATACAGTGTTCGCGTCACCTTGAAAACGCTGCACCTGACGCGCAATGTGCTCGTCCGGATGACCTGTTTTGTTGTCCGATCCGTCGAACGATGTGTCCACCGGGCAATTCTATTCGATAAGTGTTGGACATTGGAAACGGTGAAGCGTGAAATAGTGATCGGTTTCGCGAGAGCCGGTATTAAAATTTGATCACGCGCAGGGACGGCGAACGGTTCTTCAGAGAGACTTTTTCGTATCGTGAACGACAGTGAACACAGGAAACACGATCCTTAGAATTTTGTGAGATACTCGATCTGACTCTTGGGTTATAATTATTTCGTCAAACGATCTCGAAGACAATTTATGCTTTGGAGAGAATATTCAGTAACTATTTAGTCTATATATGATTTTTGTACCGATCCTGAAACATTCAATTGACTTTGATACTGACGACAGAGGACGATTTACTTTATATGCGTGTCAAGTTCCGAGTCAATCATTTTATTGATTCCCGAGAATTACGTCAACTATCTGAAAAACTATCGTTTCGAGAGAAACGACTTTTATATAGAAACCTCGAACATAATATAGTAGAGATCATTTTTTTTGAATAAAAGGACAATGTTACTTATATTTTTTTTTTAAATGGTCCTTCGTGCTTCGACTTTTGGGTAACCTTGAATTCAGGACTCTGGTTAGAGTACAAAGTTCCAAGATTATTACAACTTAACCTTGATGTAACACAAAGACTTGATTTTAAGACACACTTTCCAGATTACTGTGACTTAACCTCAATCTAAGCCGGTACTTCTATTTGAGCACTTATTTTCTAGGTTACTTTCGCTTAACATCTACCTAACCTAAAATACTGATTAAAGTAAACACACGTTACCAGAACTTAACCTCAATCTAACCTAAAATTTTTCTTCAAACACGCATTTTCTTAAATGCTTACAGCTTAATCTCGATCTACTTTCGATTTTCTTGAACATTTAAATATTTAAAAGTATGGCGTTAACTTTGAATTTCACGCGATAATTCGTTTTCAAGGCGCGTGTTACTGAAGTTTACTTATTTTATCATACGTCACGTAACGGCGCCACGATGTTAGTATTAGTCGATAATGGAAATACGACGTATGGCATAGACGACAGGTCGTAATAATGCATCGTTTCCTTTTGTGTGCAACATATCGCGTATAAAGACGTAAGACGTTTTCGTAGGTTTCTTCGCGACGCAGTTTTAGTAGCAGATGAAACGTGATACGGGGCAAGGAGTTGACACAGCTTCTGTGCACGATAGCGAACGACATTAATGCTACTGCTGAATTTTAAAAAGGGATTAAGTGACGCCGGTACATTAAGCCGAATAAAATATTCATCGACGCGAAAGAATGTAGACGCGGGTTGCAATACAAATGAAAATTTATAGAAACGACAAAGCAGATAATAATTGATAAATAAAACCATTCTCAATTCCAAATTACTTGAAATTTATAATAGCTTTTGATCGTTTCGTAAGTAGTGCAGAATCAATTTGCAAGAATTATTTGCATCGAGACATCCTTCGCACAGATAGTCGACCGTGCCATTTTAGCCATTTTTCTAGTTATTTGCTTACGTGGTCGAAACTCGCGTAGCATTCTAAGAAAGATTCAATGCCGACTTCAAGGTTGACCCACGCGATACATGAGAACCGTTTGTAACAGAAAGCCATTGCTGTTTCGTTTTTCACCGCGAGTGCTCTTGGGATGTCTAAATTTCAAACAGATCTGTCGAAACATTTCTAGATTCGAAATCGATTCGTGCAAACAGGTTTGCGATCCAATTGCGGAATCGCTGTTTAAAAAAAAATATAAAACAACCGAAATGACGATCGTCTAATTCGCTTGAGATCGATCAACGCTCGAGGCGATCTTATTAAATCGATAAAGTGGTCAGAATGTATGTCGCAAGGGAAAAGGAAACATGACAAATTCTAACCTTCAGAAATCAAACGTCACACGTTTTAGTAATCTGGTTTGTCTTTGCAAAAAAACAATATGATTTTTTGAGATTATTTCTGCAGGAGAGTATCGTCAATCGATTGGCAAAGCTTCCCCGATGAAAACGAGTCCAAACACGACCATATTCGGACTATTATAATTAATCGATTTTCAAAAATGATCCAAATAAAAAATTACCCAAATGTAGTCGTGTTTGGACTCATTTTCATCGGGAGAACGTCGCCAATCCATTGACAATATTTTCATGCAGATATAAAAATTAATAAAAAGAACCTTGTTTTTAAACGAATACTGACTTTGTCGTCTCCAAGCGAAAGTAGGTGAAGCGAGTGAAAGTTGTTCCAAAAGTACTCGGATCACGCTCGAAAAGTTTTAAACCCGTACTGTCGTTGTAATGATGCAGTTATTATTCGAAGCAATCGAAAGTGGGCGTCGTTAAAAATTTCCCAGACAACATACGCGCGTGATAAATGCACCAACGCGGTGGAAGTTGGCGAATTTGGCGGGAAACGAGTATTGGACGATCCGCCTCGGACTGTGACGTGTTTCGCTGCAAGAATGTGAGCCATTGTTTCGTGAAACGAATTGCTAGCACGCTGCTGGTGGCTTCCCGAGCGAAGAACGATGGAACTCGGCTATAAAATCATACCAGTCTTGGACTGGGAGATCGTGGACTACGAGCCAAACAATATTCACATCTTCGAGACGGAGTTTCGCGACTACGTCGTGTATTATGTCGTGGACAACGAAACACCGTGCATCTTGAACGGCTTTCTACAAAGTTTCGTACACAGCTCAGGTACATCCCTGGTATTTACGCTTATTTTGAAAAAAATAATCGTCCACTGCTCTGCCAATGGTCGAAATACGATTAAGATTTTTTCGACTCGTGTGAAATCGCGATAAAGTGTTTGATGATAATCGTAAAAAAACACGGTGCTCGAATGCGTATCAGATAAATTCGAGATAATGATATTGATTGATATCCATAGTCCAGCGATACAAATATCGTTCGAGACCGTGCGAATCGATTCTTGAAGGTCGACGACGAAGAGACGAATCTTTCGATCGACACTTCTTCCTGTTATTTTTATCACAATGGCGGACGTCGTTTTCATACCGAAGTCCAACGGAAACATTACGTTCCATAATTAGTTTAATTGCAAAGAGCGTTTATCCTCACGCTGTAACTTGTATGTTTACCCGACAACCTGTTGCACGAACGCTATGAATTTTCTATATAATTTTCGTGTTCGAAGACTGTCGTTGTTTAAAGAAATTTTTAGTCGATTTTAAAAATGTCTTTGGACACTTTTCGTTACGTTATGTTATAGTCGAGGAAAACACGAGTTCAGTGATATATCGTGACGTGACCTTCGAGGGACCTTGACCCTCTGTTAATAAGGTAAACATGAGTTGTTGGTAAACAAAAGAACGGTCACGTGTCCTTCGGTTTGTAAACATGGACGAATGCATGACAAAACTAACAAATGCATACAACGCTATTTACATTTACAAAGGTTCCTCTATGTACTGATGATTAAGGTCATTTCAAGGTCACTTGCTAATGTGTCACTGAATACGTTTTTTTATTGGCTACAACAGAGCACTGTAAAACGTGTAGTGCACTATTAAAAAAGTGTTCGTTGCAACGTTTCCAAAGATGTATAGTAAGAAAAATAAATAAACACTAATAAATATCTTAACTATAAAATTTCAAGCTCAACTTCAATCTTTCAAATGGGAATATACGAAGGTTTTAGTTGAGTTTCGGTCCAGGTGGCTCGCACGAATCGAATACTCGAAAGTCCGAGTCGAGCTAAACGAAAATGGCAGGCAACGTGTTCATGAATCATACTAACCTTTCAGCCGCCGCAGAGAAAGTAATATCTGTTGGGATAGCTTATTTTCAGCTGAGAAGAAGACGACTCGTTTGTAATTACGAGTTAACTTGTTTCTCGTGGAACTGTATTTATCGCTTGGAGCAAAGATATGCATAATTTTACTCGAACAATAAATAACCAACAAAACCAACGTATAGCAATTTAATCGTGACGTTTATTCGATCGAACATTTAAATTTTTGAATCATATGCTATAAGAATTTTACAAAACATAAGAATTTAGAAATATACAAATAGGTAAATCGCGTATTTGTTTAACAATATACGTGTAATCATTTCAATACGCGAGCCTTGCATTTCGGTGACCTTTCTTCGCCGTTTCTCACGAAGTTCCCTTTGTAACGGTTCAAACAATGCAAAATGTCGGAAAGTCAGGACGCCGTTCTGTCGACTGACTTCTATTTGATGAAGCAAACGTTCCGTCTCGACGCAGACTGCAATCAATGGAGACGTAATTTTGTTTGAATTAATCGAGGGAATCCGATATCGTCGAGTTAATTGATTTCGGCGTTCCTCGCGAATCGTTGGATTAAATTAATTACGAGACGAGGAACAATATAAATTAATATTAAATTAAGAATCGTAGATATAAAACGATAAAATCATCCTATTTACTATCCACGATCCTTTCGATTTACGTATTAAATTGTATAACTGTAATTCGAACATTCGGTAAAGACTGACGTTTTAATTACTTTTCAGATTCAGACAACGAGAGCAAAGATGGCACCGCGCTGCAGGAGAAGAAGCACGGACGCGTTTCTCAGCCCATCAACACCATTGTCTACACGGTGAGTAACGGGGATTTCGATCCATCAACGAACGATGGGATGCAATGCTCGAGCTTGCACCGCGTCGAACAATAATCAATTGTCGCGTAGGCTCGTAGACGATTAGAAGTCAAGGAGAACAAACGTAATCTCAGCTGCACAAATGCCTATTATGAATTAATTCGTCTTCGACGATTGATCGCGTCGCGAATAGTACTAAAAATTTAGTTATTAATTATAATTAATTTATGGCTACCAGTTTCTAAAGAATTTTCTGATTTACGTTCAAAATGGTGGAAGTTTTTGCCTCGGTATATCTTGACACCGTCTGCAAAGGGTTAAACGGGCGAGATAGATGCCGGACGCCGTAGTTTATCGATCGGAATTTTCAAAGTTTCGAAAGAGATTTATCGCAAGACCGACGTGGAAACTGAGACGACGGAAGCTGGCGAAAAAAAATGGCTTCGTAGAGCGAAACAGACGAGTCCATTAGTGTCTTGTTAGCAAGCAGCGAACGCGAGGCGTGCCAGTGTCGGGGACTTATCGCTGATGATTCATCATTGTCGCAGGGGCGCTCGATCCGAGCACATCTGTTGTCAAACGGTGCTCAGAAGTACCTGTTAATAGTTAATCCTCAGCCGGCGTTTCCACAAGGGGCCGAGACGATAAAAATTGCTTACAAAGGATGACGTTCATCCGACATAACCTATATTTAGAAAACGTTTCATACGTTTTTTCTCGATTGTATTTTCGTACAGGACGCGTACCGCCTAACGGAAGCATTTTAAATATCACGCTTATTTTTAACGATGGGGGGAAAAATGTCAAAGGCGCACGGTATTAATTCTTTGCGTGCTCGTCGTTGCCAAAAAACAGTTGTTTGGTCGTTTATCGTCGCGACGTACGTCTAACCTAATTTTCTCGGCCCGACGGGAACCGTGACGTTCGTCTCGAAAAGTCGCTGGAACCAAGGGGTATATCTCGAGATTTTTCGCGTGCCAAATGCTCATTAGGGGACACGTTTAACGCCGGAAAGTTGGTCGCGAAGCAGCGATGTTCTGGAAGACGTCAGACACTTACTATGCAACAGGAATTCCGTGGGAACGACGGAATGGAACGGGGGGGATGCAAACGGGCATCGCTCGGATTCTGGGGCAACGGAAGACTCTGAATACGCCATGATATACACGGCGGGGCGGCCGTGTTCGACCGATCGACGAAGGGAAAATCGAATAACGCCAATTCGAATTCTATCGAAGGGATTGCAGAACCGAACGGGCACACGTTTCTTTCGCCCGAAACTGGAAATTTCATTCGCGCGCTCTGCCGAGCGAATGAATAACTGCGGGAAAACGAAGCATTGTTGGGACACGATTTTTACAACTTTACTTTTTCTACTTCGATCGATCTTTCGATTTCGAGCAATTTCTATTTTTCCCCTGGCACGATTCTACTATTTTAATTAAACAAAATAATTCTTCGGAGAACACAGTACTGTCGAACATAAGCGTAACAATAATGATAGCGTTATTAATTACGGTTGTTAATTCTCCAAGGTAAGGTCTGTTGGCCACAATTGTTGGCGATATATTTAATTGCCATATTACGTCTGCGAACATGACAGCTGAAGCATCCGTTAAGTCATTGTTACTGTTCATGAAAACCACAGAAAAGGAATCGCTAATACCTGAACAGAAGCGATGCAGTGGTAGCGGAGTTGGTAGGACGTCCAGCTAGCAATCCGAAGGTCGTGAGTTCGAATCCCCTGTACCTCCGTTTCTCGTTTTTTCTCGATTCCTCGATTTTAAACAATTCTTTCGGTATGTTTTAAATTAATTCTTGATAAAAAGGAAATTTTGAAAATTCATAAAGCTTTCGTGCATTCATCTCGCTCGCACGGGACGCGCGAACGGCTGGGCAGAGTTTTGTGTGACTCTTGTTGCGTAATGGCACGCTTATGCTTTCTTAAGCGTGGACATATGCACTTGGTTCGCAAACGGACGCTCACTTACTTTCTCGTCACGTATGTTATACACGCACTCGCCGCCGCGTAATCGATACGACATTTCGCGACGAACCGAGCCGATACAATCGATTTACGAAAGGGTGACTTTTCGTGGCCAAAGGAAAAATGGGAAAAAGCAGAGACAAGTTATAATAATTTACAACCTATTACAAAATCAGAGGCGTCGAGATGTCGAATTCTTGTAATAATTGTTACACCTGGAGAGTTTATAGAAGGCTTTTTTGACCAGTCCTCTAGAGATTTACAGCGTTCGAAGAAACGCTTCTTATTTGAAAGTGGAAATAAATCAAACTCGAAGGAATAGAGTTACTTACTTCTATAAATGCTCTTTACTGTTGATTACTAGAGACGCTGCTAACGATCCATAAGTTATCGATAGATTATCGATAGCTATTCGTTGTAGATATCGTTGAAGTATCGTCGTAATAAAATCAAATGATACAATAAATATGCCCATTAGCATGGTTGCATTGAAATTCCATACTTTTAAGGGGGTTAATTCTCCGTTAGTGAAACACGCGGTTCCTGGATGCTTCCGTGGTGCATTGCGCAACGTACTGGACTTGAATTTGCAACAGCTTGAACTTTTCGCGATTAGAAAGGCGGCATTATCGCTTTTCTCGCGTCTCGCGGTAAAATGGGGTCGTATCGAGTCTAATTTTAGTCGTGAAAGGAAATGTGACACATGTACGAAGCTTTCCTTATCTGCGATCGTACGAATACGAAAGGTGGAAGCGCCAATGAATGCGGGAGCCACAGAGATTGGAAATGTTCCGTAAATGGTTAGGTTTCGATTCTCGAAAGCAACTCACAGCGTGTCACTAAACTACTATAAAATTACTATTTATATAGTTTCTTCAGAAACGAGAGTTCCACAGCATCGTAATAGGTGAACTAAAAAATAGATTAAAAAGCAGACACATGGCAAATTCTCCGGAGAAATTTCTTCGTACTGGGAACCGTCTTTCTAGTTCTGCGATTCCAGTTTTTTCCCCCCGACAGAATGTGGCTCGGGGGACCAGAAACACAGTCCGGTGTTCAAACAACGAGGAAGTAGAATTGTTGCGCAAACGAGTACCCTGTGGACCTAATGGCGTTTCACGAGGCTGGAGCCTGAATCAGTTTGACGGTCAGCCGTCGGTCCTAGTCGATGCTCATAGGAACGAAATTAGGTTAGAATCTCTCACGTCCAATCTCTGCTCGTTCTATTTGTACTTCTGGCTGGCAGATAACTGTCCTGCACGTTTCTCTGATTTCTTTTTAAGAAAAATAATACCTTTCGACAGCACTTTTTTTTTTCGTTCGAAACGTAAATTAACGTTCTTTCGTTTGAGGTTAGGGAGTGATATACAACGTCGAACGCCATGAACCGTTGTAGAAAGTCCCGAGGTCATGGAACGCGATCGCGTTCGATCTAATGGTGTGTCCCGAGCCCGTGATTCCAGCGGATCTTTCCATTATCCTGTGCAACGGTACTGCAACGACCATGATTGCCCTATAATCCAAGTGTCGTACTGTAATCAGTGTTGCTCTGGTCCCTCGACGATTAAAGCTGATGTCTAGCTTATGCCGTCCGTTTCGGCCCCTTACACCTCGTTGATCGATTAATGTCTATAATTTAACTCCTCTTATCTCTCTCGGTTCCACTCCCGCGCAATCGCGGCGATATCTGGCTGAAATAAGCAATTTTCGACGAGAATGTATATCGACAATTATGTTTTCTCAAAATCAATTAATCGTAGAATCAGAGATCCTCTGTACTAACAAGATAAAAGAAATCGTTAACACCATTAGAGTAGCGGTGTGGTGTTGGATCAGCGAGTAGGACGTTTGGTCAGTAATCCGAAGATCGCGAGTTCGAATCTCCGGCGTCCGTGCCTCGTTTTTTCCGCGACTCTTGCATGATTTATTAGAAAATAAAAACAACAGAGGTATTTATAGTATAGCAAGTATTTTTAAAATTAGACTTCTGAAACCTGTTGAAACAAGTTTACATCTGAGAAAATTCAAGGACCTCAAAATTGATCATTTCGTGACTTGGAGGCGACACACAGACACACAACAATCTCCTTCTCTGACTTACGTGATATGTGTTAGACTAAGTAAGTACGTTACGGATCACAGAAAAGAAAAGAGGATCTTGAAGAAATTTAAGGATCTTGGAGGACTCTTTTTTAAAGCCCCTTAGATTCTTACCGTTGTAAGAAGATTTCAGGAACATTTGAGGATTTAGGATAGTCGTCGAGGTGTGGAGTTTTAGGGAAGATCTAGATGTGGCGAATAAACAAGCACTGGAACCAAATTTGAATTTCAAACTTTCTCGTTCTTCTAAAAATGGCGATACGATAAAAATACGTTTCCGTTTCGCTAGTTATTCTTCGGTGACCTATAATAAATTCACCTGGGTCAAAATGACCGTGCATCCGCTGTACGAGGGGTTGTTAAAGAAACAAAAAAATGTGGGCGGCGGGAAATGCGTTAAAGACGAAAGCAGGTCACGAGTATTCGGTTCGATAGATAATTCGGGAAAGTTAATTGAACAAGGTAATATTCATCGGGTAACAATGAAGGTAGAAAGCCGTCGATCCACGGATGGATGAATTCGATTATTCGTCTCGTTAGCCGTGACGCGTCTTATCGCCCGGTAATAAGATCTCGGACGGCTGGTTTAGAAGGCAAGAACGATAATTACGCAGCCATTGAAACGCAGTGGCGGCTTGGAAAGTTATTATCGAATACATAAACCACGAAAACGCGACGGACGACCCTGAATAAGAAGCTGCGGGGGAGAAAAGACGCGGAACGAAAGGTAGCCCGGGCTACATAAAAAGAAAAGGAGAAAGAAGAATCGGGACAACGGGAGCTTTCTTGCGCGATCTTTTGTCACGAGATAGCTCTCCCTCTCGACGGAAGCTACCAGGGGTTCTCATATCCTCTCGTACTGATGTCGCTTCTCTTTCACACGACTACTTAACAATCTGAATACTACCAATCCAATGATCCACCAGCTTGACGTTTACTTGCTTAACGGCCATCCCCTCTTTTCGACCACGTGCAACTAACGAGGCCCCCCCCCGTGCAGTTATCGAGGTTCTATCGTCAACTCAACGCAGAAAATAAATTTTAGTAAGTTTTAAATATAAGAAAATTAAATTTACGGATCTGAATCCTACTTCTGTGAGTTTTTTCTCCCAGCGGAGAATCACTGAACCGAAAGGGGCAGAAACTGAAACAATGCCTGTTCAGGCTTTCTCCCTCGGTCTTTAGGCGAAACATCGTGCGTTCTCTTTTCTTTCCTTTTTCTCTACCCGGTCGCCTTAAAAGCTTCATCACCTCGATCCGCGGCTTTTTGTCTTTCCCCCCTCCCCCTTCGGACCCCACTTCAACCCCTCCCTCATCGTCGGTTTTTCTCCTCGCTGATCTTTACTCGAGGACCGATGACTACGACTTTTTTCGCTTCTTCTTTCGATCGTTCGAGTAATGGAACGCAGAAAATACTCGATTGCACGGCAGACGTATTTGTTTTTTTTAATTTTTATTACGATGTTTCACGTTCGCGTGTACGATACAGTAGTCTCTAGATTATGCGATCTAGTAGGGGTGAATGTTGGTCACATAATCGAGGGGTTGGAAAATCGAGAGATTTTGTTCACCTTAGTGCAACAGGTAGGTTATAGAATATATCGTAACATCGTTTCTAGGACATAATACTTATATTGTGTAATACGCGTTTAGATAGTAGATCTCGAGAATATTTTTAAAAGAAGCATAGGTAACAGTAAGACAGAGTTGTATTCAATTAATACATGATAGATAAAACCAAGATATCAATCAGAAACTCAAAACGATCTATTAATAATAATGTCATGAGAATGTAACGACATTATACTTTTTATTTTTATTATTTCTCCCAGAGGGTATTATCAATAGATTGGTGAAGTTTCCCCGATGAATTTGAGTCCAAACACGGCATCGATCGGACGATTTTTAATTATACGTCATAGTAATCGTTCATAAAGTTATTCAATTATGGCAAAGTTAAAAGTGGTCCGAATAGGGTCGTGTTTGGACTCATTTTAATCGGGGGAACCTCACCGATCCAATGATAACACACTCAGGGGAAAATAATAAAAACAAAAATTATAATTCCCTAATCGGTTTGCAAAGACTGCTGGAATATTCTGGTGGGTCTACTATTTCGTTCTAATTTAAGCAGACAGCGTCCCGCAAATATCCTATTCGTTACACGTCCATTTGATTTTCATTATTCGGGATTCCGGGACCGAGGGAAATCTGCTTTTCTAATTTGACTGTATTGCGACGGGATTACGGGGGACGTTGATAAAAGTTAACGCCGGAAGCCCGTTACAAATCGCGGATTAATAATCTCGTGTAATCCGTGCGTGTGCTATCGTTTGATATTACGTTAACGTCCCGGCGCGCTGGTTAATGTAGTGTTAGTAATGCCGCGCGGCCTGCATAAGTTACTTTTATCGTTGCACGTGCAGCGCGCGCCACGCGTCCTTGCATTACAATACTTGGCGATTACAGTGCACACAGAAATTGATTCAGCGATACCATCCCTCGCGTATATTTCTCTTCCTTTCTGGAGCACGACGTCGTTAAGATCTTCAAGGGAGCCTTCTATTCTACGCTCCTTGGCGCACAAGTCCATTCGTGCATTTTAATGGAACGTTTGCAATCGTACAATTTCAGTATGTCTCAACCAGGTACGATGGTCGGTAACAATCGTTGACAAAAAGCATATTTTTAACAATAGAGAGTACCAAAACGTATAATAATAATAAAATTTCAATCTCGAACATTCTAACCTAAATACATGTTTTAACGAAGGAGCGACGATTCACGTGAATTTCGTACGAAGCTATTAAATGGTACATAAATTAGGCCCGATCATGGTAATCTTGATTCAATATCGTTTCTGTACAGTTTAATATCTTCGTTCGAAACCCTCGTAAATTTCAGCCCTTTCATTAATATGTATAATAGAAAACGTACGAATATAGGTCAGAGGACGTAATCGGGTTGGGAACGCAGCCGGAAACGTCGTTCGGAAATTTTATTAAACATAATTCGATCGCTTTCATCGACTTAGTACCGAAATACCTGGACCGAATACGTCGCAATTTATCGCGTGAAATATTATCGAAGATCTATATATGAATTATTTTTTCTTTTTTTAACTTCGACTCGAGAATATTATTAATCCCAAATCTCGATAAAAATCCCTTCCACTCTTTTACCGGAAGCATCGTTCACGAGAAACGATGGGAAGAAAAGGTTCGGTGTCATCGATATCGACGAGGGACGCCGAAAGAAAATACGAAACGATTCCAATTGCTTTTATTCGACGTTGCCCCGACGCGAAGCCAATTCCCTTAATCGTCGCGATTTAATTTCTCGAGAGGGAAGAGTTCGCGAAGAACCGTGGAAAGAAATCGAGTTTAAACGGCGGACAGAGGAAGACGAAGAAAGGACAACGAGGCGTCGCGGTATAATTAATGAATTTCCACGAGACAAGAATTACGTTTCAAGCGTCATAAAATCTGTTTGCCCGACGGTGCTCTCGGGAAACGAGGCGTTTTCGTTCAGCAGAGGTGAAATTTCCCTCTGGCGAACGTTAATACGGGATATTAATTCCGCGATGGGATCGATTACGCCCGTCGATTGTTTTAGCAAACCGGTCTGACGTTCGTGAATTATTCGCTGCCGTTCGAGACCTCGGAACCAATTGGATTCGATTATCGTTGTAATTATTTCTATATCGTTTGCTACATTTGAATTTAATTTTAAAAAGAAGAATCCACCGAGTATCTTAGTAAATTCCTTGATAAAAAGCTTTCTCAAGATCATCGATCGAGGGCACAAAGTATCGAAATATGGTCTGAATCATTCCACGCTCCCAGAAAGGTCGTTGGTCCGCGGATTTGCATAAGAGACGTAATGTGCCAGCGAATGGACCGGTCTCGAGGCTCTCTTTCGAGGAATTCAATTTTCCGTTGCCCGATATCCCCCTTGCACGCCATTTCTGCTGGATTATGCAAATAGTCTAATGGTCCCAAAGACCATCGCGGGTGCAACGGAATAACCAAGGCAGTTCGAACCAGTTCTGCTCGAAGAAAGTATTTCGACGAAGATATTAGTAGCGACGTCAAGAGTCACTTAATTAATGAAACGTAAAGTTTTTATGAATTATTCGGTTAAAAAATTAGCATAAATGTGAATGTAGTGTCGCTCAAGGAGTAATATAATAGAATTATTTTTATTGTACAAATAACATAAGAAGCGTAACAGTATTCGCTGGAAGGAGAATTGTAACTTGGCCGAAATGTTGTAAGACGATACTCTGGTAAAGCGTGGCAGCCGTTAGGCGAACGTGTGGTGTAGGGTTACGGGAACCGCCATCTGTATCACGTTCCAGCGTTCCAGCGTTCCAGGGAACGGTGGAACGTACCGTTCCAAAGATACTTCTACCCGGTGACGTCAGAAGTAACAAATCGTGACATAATAATGTTTCCAGAACGCGTGCCAAATCGTCAGTCTTGCGGAAACGTAATTCCTGCGAGTCTTACGTCGGGGAAACTAAATTCCAGTATACCGGACGACTTCTACATAATTCAGTCGCTCGAAAGCTGAGATGGGACAGCATTGTGTTCGAAAAATGCATTCCGTTTCTTTCGAACACTGATCGAGATACAGTAGCGAAAAGCATTGCAATATTCTTTCCGAATAACGTAAAATAACAAGTGCGGTATTTAACACTATTTGCTATTGGGATTTTCGAAAGCATCTAACGCGTCAAAGTATCCGTTCGACGGCGAAACGCGACGTTTCCGTGGGGAGGAGATGAAGCCCGTTACCGGTGAACGATTTGATCTAGGATGATCGAGCTGTAGATCGAGGCGGAAGATACGGCTTATGACGTTGCATTAGCATCGGACCGTGAAATTGCGTTTCACCGATATTTGCCCGGTTTCGAGCGGTTCCTGAACTACTGCCACGTCGCACAGTGGCGCAGGGATCACAAAAAATAAGGTTGGATAAAATAAGTAGCAAAATTACCAGGCATACGATAAGTAACAAAAGAATAACGAATTAAAACTCGTTCGAAGCAATAGAATTTCTAAGTAGAGTCGCGTGTCGGGGATTCCTAGAAACGATGGTCAAGGAATGGTTTCAAGGACGCGGTGGAGAATGTGTTTTAAAGCTTTCTAATTGACAGGGTCAAACATCTGACACGCAGCGACGCGTAGGAAGTCACGTATACGTAATACAAGAGTGAAAAGAACGAATGTAAATTATTACGTGTGCTCTCGATGGTGAAGTTTGCGTGTTCGAATAAATACTCCAATTTGTGTAAGAAAACAATTACGTATAATGTAATGTTGTTCATAAAGACCACGTGCACTTATAATCAGCCGTAGAAGGAAACTGGTAGCCCATGTTTGGAAACCATCGACGAGAAGTTAATGCCATAGTTGAATTTACTTTTTTCCAAAGCACGACCGTGGACAAAGGCAGTCGAGTAATTTTCATGTATCCGTTTTCTCGTTACAGGTGGGCGACAGGGATACGCTCACGTCAGTGGCCGCGAGGTTCGACACAACGCCGTCCGAGCTGAGCAAATTGAACAGGCTCGGAAGTACTTTCATTTATCCCGGCCAGCAATTGCGGGTACCAGCGAAAGGAGAAGGTCGACCAGGAGGCGGAACCACTACCGACGCGCCCAGTCCGGATCCTTGCCACGACCACGAGTCCCAGGATGACCTACCTCCCGAAGAAAAAGGTTCGTTCGAACGTTATACCTGATAACTTCTGAACGGATTGGAGGATTTTAATGTTTCAAAATGCAAACAACGCGTATTCTAGTGAAGAATATGTAGAAATTCTAACAATGTTGGAAAGGTTGTCCCTTGACCCTGTAACGTGAGAAAAACACCATATAAGTTCAACAAAAATTTGAACGGGAGCTTCAATTTTTCGGTGAAAAAAAAAATTTCAAATCGTTCTGGAAAAATTATTTTCAGTTTTGGGGGTCAATTACAATCATTTTTGGTGAATAGACATACCCTCGAATTCTTACGCATTTTCGAGAAAAAAATTCGAATCTGTGCTTAAATTTTTCGGTGAAAAAAAATATTTCAAATCATTCTGAAAAAATTATTTTCAGTTGCAGTGGTCAATTACAATCATTTTAGGTGAATAGACATACCCTCGAATTCCTACGCATTTTCGAGGAAAAAATTCGAATCGGTGCCTAACTTTAGCAGTAAAATTAAAAAGTTTCAAATCGTTCTGGAAAAATTATTTTTAGTTGCGGGGATCAATTACAATCATTTTAGGTGAATAGACATACCCCCGTAATCCTACTCAGTTACGAGAAAAAAATTCCTGACCGAAAATATAATGTGAGGTTAGAAACGTTTCCCCGAAATTTCATGCGTACAGTTACATGCTGTTATTAACCTGATCAAACACTATGGTTTAAAGTTCTCCTATCATATAATGACCAGGGAAACGTTCAGATACAAAGCTTGTCCCGGAAATATTGTTTCTGCGTTCTAGTCTTATCATAATTTTTGTGACGAGGATAGCATCGTAAAACTGGAGATAATCGGGTCGAAAATTATTTTGTTTTTATGGTTATATCGTCCAGCTGGTTGGGTTTCCACTTAATGCGGAACTTGAGCTGACGACAACGTTACCAATGTTGCGTGAGATTCGAAGGGTTTATTGTTTATACGCAGGCAATGCAATCTCCTTTGCAATAGAAATTCTCCCACGCGGTTTGACGCCGTTTAAGTTGCCATAAAATTGTTGAAAGTGTTGTAATCGGTTGGAGGTTAGATTAATTTCACCGACAGAATTAAATTACGATTACATTAGTCTAATTTTCTATATGCAGTTGTCAGATTATTACGTAAATATAGAAGTTGCATATGTCATCGACACAATTCGATAACGCTGTATTAGATAGAGGTTCGTGCCAGACGAATATTATGGCGTGTCATTATTATGAACCATACGTTCGAAAACGTTATTCTAACCAGACAAGCATCGAGCCTTATCTATCGGATTTGTGCAATAGACGTCCATTAATATTCAATGCGACACTTCGAATACGCCGATACAATCGAGACCCAATTCATCTTGATATTTGGCCAGGTGAGTCAATCCGATTCACCTGAACGCGCCACACGCCGCCTCCTGTTACATTATTCATAGAGATGTATTTGTGTTAATTTTGCTTTCGAATTATCGTAACCATGCAATAAGGCATTTCGATACGGACGCCACGTACTCGCGGGATCGTTAAAACGCATAGCGAGATCGGTCATAAATCAAACAGAATCGTATAGCAATTTCCTCGACGGACCATAAACAATTAAAAATAATCGAGGCGGGAATAAAAGTAATTCGCGCAACGTAATAACGCCGCGAAAGGTTGAATAATGTATCGTCGGTGAGTATTCAAATATCGAGAGCCGAAGAAATAAATGTCCATTGGAGCATCGAAGTGCGTTAGAGAGGAATTTCATGGAACGTCACGGGTGGAAAAAAGGTTGAAGATCCGCCGTTCGATGGCGCCACGTCGCGATATTGCATTCGTTGCATGCATCGATGCGCGGAAAATTAAATCCAGAGAACGGTAGAATCGAACATAGGCATCGAAAGACCTCACGGTTTGCATTCATAAAGGAATAATAGGTTTATATAACGATATTATACAGCTTTATATGATTACGACGCATATAGGAAAAGAGAACCGACGGAATCGATTTTCTGGAGAGTCCATGTGTCTCTTTCTTTGTCTCTCGTGACCTATAACTAATTCAGTTTTGACAGACCCTTTAATCGATAGTCGCGATTTAACCTAGTTGAATTATCCAATACATTCTTTGTGCCTTATATTTTTTTTAATATTGGAATTTGCTTCTGAATTTAGTAGTAGCAACACAAAAGCATTTGTATCCTAAAACCTTAGTCGTTAACTTCGTCTTCTATCTTCTATCTTTATCGAATATTAACTGCATATTTTTTTGTTATTACCAAAAAGTATTTGAAATTTTAAGAATTGAGTAGCTCTTGTTTTGTCGTCGTATGTTTCTTCGAGGAAGTGATACGAGTTCGAAAGAAACACAAACGTATTTAAATATTTAAAATATTAGCACGAGTCGACGTGTTAGCTTTTATGTAGTCTTTTTTGAGTCATTCGGTACACATGTAGGATACGTCAGCTGATCGGCGTAACGGAAATTACGGAAGCCAATATGGCGTTTACCGTATAGCAAACATAACCTATAAGCTGTCAGAAAATACGATGAACGTTGATTTAACGTCAGTTGAATCACGAATGCTACTGTCATGCGATCATTCGATATTCTTATTGAACTTGGTGATATTACCAAGGAATTCGATCACATAATGATACTCGAACGATTTCAATCGACTTAAGTTTCCTATCATAGAGATATGTATATTTAAAACAACAGTTTCTTTCTTCTTTTTGGGCATGGGTAGGTTGTAGCTAGTAATCGTAGAAATAAAAGAATATTTTATTAATGATTCTATGATGATCTAACGTTATATTGTTATTTACAGAACTGTTGGATAGTTTGAGGCCTGTGTCACCTAAACCAGGTCATATAGAACGAGTGAAAACTCCTCTTGGTGTTACAAATGCAGTCATAGAGGAGGAGGAGCAACCGTTTAAAGAAAGATTCTTAAAGATCAATGTTCGACATATCACAGATGGTCAGGTAAGGTATAAATTTTAATTAATTTTCGTTGTATAATTCTGCATAACTTGTGTCTTTCGGTGACACTAAATCTGTGGTTTGTTCACAGGGTGTTGTCGGTGGAGTGTTATTAGTCACACCAAATGCAGTGATGTTTGACCCCAATGTCTCGGATCCGCTCGTAATCGAACATGGTGCCGAATCTTACGGAGTAATCGCACCGATGGAATTTGTAGTGAATGCCGCTATTTATTATGACATTGCACACATGCGTGTCGGACATACGGAATCTGGAACTCTGGATAAGAAGCCAGAAATATATTATATGAAGAAACCCTCGCAAAACGACAACCGGAAGTGTCAGTCGCCGGGAAAGGACGAGACTTTCCCAGAATTAACGGCGGACGACAACGAGAGTGTTTGCAGCTGTGCTGAAAGAGATGGAGATGCTTTTCCAAAGGCCTTTGAGAGAGATCTCGTTACACCTACCAATCTTCAGAATGTATGTTAATTTAAAGTAATAAATGGAACAACAGTTAGCCAACAATTAGGTTAGGAACGATAAATAAAAGTGATGCTCTTTGCTCTGCAGGAAGAAAACACAACGACAACCAAAGATAAAGAAACAGAGAAAGAAGAGACTAAAGATGCCTCTAGCGGTGGTCAAGGTAATAGAACGTTAGAAGAGCGTAGACGTTCTATGCTTGACCATCACTGGGCAGTTCCTAGTAAGGATCGATGTACATTATCGGTAGAAGATGAGCAGCAGGATTCGTTGAATTCTGACAAGGTTGGTTCGCGATCATTATCGAAATTTAATACGATAGACAGCTCGATCAACGTTGACGATCTGCTTTCAGGTTGACCCCGCGAAGTCGAAGGCGATTCCCGAAGACGAAGAAGGATCTCTAGTCAAATTGTCATGCCACGACTCTGGTATCGACATTCGTGATCTCATTCCCCCTTTCCCAGTAGTTCAGCATATCCCCTCAAAGAAAGTATACTCAGACGCAGATATTGTCTTATCTTCAGATTGGGTCCCTCCTATTACTATTGCACCGACGAACATTACAACTGATTCGCTAGACGCTGGTTCCGCCATTAATGGTAGGAAGAAGGCGAGTTCGGTATCTTTTAGCTTAGAGAGTAATGCGGAGGAACCCGAGAAAGATGAAGAGCATAAAGACGACGACAAACAAGAAACGCGTAAAAATAAGGTATCGTTAAAATCACTGTCACTGTATTTCCAGTATTATCGTAGTAATATTATATAACACATTTGGTCCTATTTTTTTTTCAGATGTTAAAACGATTGTCGTATCCATTGTCGTGGATGGAAGGGTTGACTGGTGAGAAAGAGGAGGAGAATAAATCTGGATCCGACAAAGTGTCCAGCCTTCCTAACAGTGCGGATTCTCACCATTCGTCAGTGTTCAGTAAAGTCTTCTCCAGGTGATAATCTTCGTTACATTAAAACCCTAGAATCTTTACGAACTTCTTTCTCCCCCAATAATCTGTTCACGTGATATTAACGTTTTTCCAAAATTAATAATTATGCTTCTGTATTTCACTTTTTCTTATCCATCTGTATTAGGAATGAGTAAAACGATCGTTAAAAAGTTTGCATACTTCACGTACAGGGAAGATCGGTTTCGATGCTCGGGCGCCTCCTTTACATGGTGTAACGTTTATTTCTTTTTTATCACGCGTGTGATTGCTTACTGCTGAATTTTTCTAGAACATTTCAATTAATATCTATCTACGGCGAGTCTGAGGCTACTCGTGATGAAACGTGTGTTGCATGCATTATGATAATTATTTTTCAACAATGTTTATGAAGAAACTTACTCGTTTAAAAGAACGGGTTTCATTATGAGTATCCTCGTTCGTTAACGTATAGAATATTCATTAGTTACTTGCTGCCTAGAAACGAGTGGCTTATTGCATTTGCGGTACGCGTTGGGATAGATTTCTTTTTAACTTATGGAAGGAGTAAACGAACCAGGGGAATGCGTACATGCGATGTTTCCAGCTCAATCCAGAAGTTGTCCTCAATAACCTAGTACCATCATAGTCCGTTCTTTTGGAAAAATGAAACTGTTTTTTTCATAGCCTACACCCGAAAGCCTCGAACAGTGTCGACTGTGTGAGGGCTATGGGACTATAGGACCTTGTATTGCAAAGATTAGTGGTTATGGTTTTGTCACGAAGGCTCGAACGTTAAAAAATAGGTTTCGATTCGACTGTGATGGTAATCTGTGTTTAATCAAAAGCTTTACTGTCGTTTCCAATGTAACTAACAAAGAATATGTAATGGTGGTGGATATAAGCTCGCCGATCAACCTGGTGAGTGACTTTAGCTCGGGCCTGTTTGCTAAAACTCCCAGCGAAGAGAGTGGTGGGGGCGGTAGGGCTGGAGGAACACCTCCGCTTACCGCCTCCTCTCTCTCCCAGGACTCCGGCAATCCTCAGTTCTCACCTGGTCCAGGAGGGTTTATGGGGTGAGTTTGGGCCCGGTCCATCAACCAGCAAATTGTTGTATCCACTTCATCCACGTTCCCTTTTATTAATCTCCCTGCTCTTCCACTCTTTAACTCTAACTGGCTCTTACATTTGGGTATCGTTTCGACAGCGTTTATCTTATTAGACCTCTAGTTCATTTTCATAGGGTTGGGACTTGCTGTTGAATATTTTGTACATTCATGAAGTATCTGAATATCCGTACTACAGCGGTACCCTGATCTGATACATTGTCGATGTATACAACTGTATATACATACACACGTTTACATTATGTTTGCCTCGACTCACGTCAGCTTTACTTGGAACCAATTAGTACGTAAATTCGGGTTACGACTGTGTCGCATTTGCATCGGCAATATCTGCATATCCGGATAGTCCTAGCCCTAGTCTCTTTCTGTATATTAAACACCACACGTGTCTCATATACGTATTCTTTTCCATAATCTCGTCACGCAGTTTACGTTCATTTCCAGGTAGACTTAAACGTGAGTTTCCGTAACTCGTTCTACCTTGACGCTTCTCACAAGAACGCTCTATTTTCTCTCTCTCTCCTTGTTTCGCTATTCCCTTTACTTTAAGCCTTATCTCGGGGTTGAGATCCAGCCCCTAGACTTCTTGCTCCTGCTTTCAGGTAAATGTTACATCTTTTCAGAATACTCTGCCAACGTTCGACACGACACATCCGCCGTTTTTTACCGTTCTCCGATAACAGTACCGCTTACAAACAACACACGAATCACCAACAAAAAAAAAAAGTCGAACACAGCCGTGTTTTTAGTATTACATCCCCGAGCAGCCACCCAGTTTATTTCTCGCCGTTTACACGTTGAATACGATATTTACCTTGAATGTTGTTACATCCCCCCCACCGATTAAATGTTCTTTACTGTGCGTTGCAACGTGTATAATGCTCGTCGCTTCGAAATCACGGCGCACGCGATGGAATTTACACGACGCTTGATGGAAAACGCCCCCGCGTGCTCTGTGATTTTGAGACGCCGCGACTCGAGCGTTTGTCGGATCGACGATAACGCGTGTTCATGGTTGCCTTTCAGACGATCCTCCGTGGGCACGTTCATCAGACAGCAACCGTTGACTTCGTCGGGCAGCAGCAGCGTGGACAGCAGTCGAGGCAGCAAAACGTCAACGACTGCACCGCGATTGGACTATCGCAGCATGGTCTCCGTCGAAGACATGCCTGAACTCTTCGTCAGTTTCGACAGTAAGTGTCGCCTGTGGCACGCTCACCGTCGTTTCATCAACTTTGTATTTTTTAACTCGACGCATTTTTGGAATGAATCATTGATCGTGGACACTCCTCACATAGAATACTTTTTATCTTGTACAGGACGTTCCGTTTTTATCTAAAATTGGAGCAGGTACTTGACTGTTAAGAGTATCGATAACGAAGAAATATATCTTGTATATCTGTCTCCAATTATAAATAACAATTGAACGCTCCTAGTATTACATATTTCTCAAGTGGCGTGTTTTGGTGTATAGATAGCTAAGAAAAATTGAAAAATTCAAGACACGCCATTGTAGAAACGCCCTTTGCCCGAAAGGGTCGATAGTTCCATAATAAATTACACGTAGCCCACGAATACATGAACAGAAACGGCATTAAAGATGGCAAACGGGATTACATATCACGCACTGCACACGCTCGTATGTATAGACGGCTTTTTAAACGATCTCTTACTTTGCTAGTGCATTTATTCTCCCTTTGAATTTTTCTAGCGCTTTTGGATTCGATTTCAACTCGTTATCGAATTTGTTTTTTTTCGAACGAAATGTTATCGTCGTTAGAGAATTTTTAAGCGAGCGGTATTGACATTCGCGACCAAATGCGCTTCACATTACACTCGAAACGTAGTTCTCGATATTTTCTATGATTTTTCAAACTCTACTCGTTTGTCATTACTAGTTTTCTACATCCAGAGTATCGACTAACTTTTTATCGGGATAGTTATCTGGATAAAATACTTTATCCGATGACTATCCGGATAAAAATCTGCGCCCACTTTTTATCTACACTTTACTGTATTTAATGTGTACGGTCACATTCGTGTGCGGCGTTCTGCGAATCTGTGCCATGAGAATTCAGAATTCACAATTGGAACGACGCTGTTCCAAGCTGTCTCGACTTTTTGACACAGATTCGAGGAACAGTCAGTCTTGTATCATGATTACTTGGCTCGGGCTCCGGGGTCCCTTTCATAGTGATTGCGGGGTCCAGGCACGAGACACTCCATTATTAAATTCGGTTGTTGGTTAATTTAAAGGGGAACATTATTGCGTCCCCAGGATCTTGAAACCCATTGTGCAATTTGTACTTGGATTAACCATTATATACCATCAAAGATTCCTCCTTATACTTTGCATATGATTCATCGCTAATTTTTGCTACGTTTATGGGTCTTTCAGAACAGCACAACGGGTTTCATGGATTCTCCTGCCCAATGAATTCATACTAATGCAGTAATGTCATATGTTTTGTTGTCCCTCTAGTCCAAGCACCTAATTTTCCCGAACTCGAAGGCCTCGGTAGGTTCATACTGTATTAGCTTGCTTATCCCCTCCTCCTACTCGTTTCACGACCTTCACAGACATTGGCTCGCCATTATCATTGATTTTTCGCTCTACTCGTACCACTTTTTTCTTTCTTTCTATTGTCGTGCCGTGAGACTGTAATTGCACGAATCCACTGACCGTACTTTTGCTCCCACTTACGGTCGGTTCGCCACTTCACCTTGCACACTGTGTATCTACCATTGTATGTGTGTTGAAACCGTACATGTACTTGCTCTGTTTAATGATCGCCAACACAATTATCTGCACCTTGCAGCAATTTTCTGATTTAAAACTTCTGTTACCCGCGTGTCTAATAGGGCTGAGATTATTCGAATAGTAAAATATTTAAATAGCATTCGAATTTTGATATTTGAACTGTTCAAATATTCAATAAGGAGTCGCAGCTCTATTATCTACTCGCGATGTTGTGTACGTCTCGTTTTGGTGTTTGTGCGTCCGGTCAATGGTCGTTAATATTTGAGGTATTCTCCAAAAAAGGGCTTCTTAAATATATTTTTCTTTTCTTTTTTTTTCTTGTAACCGACTATGTGCATACAGACACAGGAGATGTGTCTTACGAATAAGTATAAATATTTATTTAGAAAAATGACGAATAGAATATCGACAGAATCGAGCCGTGAATAAGCAACAGTCGAATCAAATATGCAAGGCACGTGTTACATTATTGAATCGTGTTCTGTCGTGTTACATAGAACTCATACCACGACCGGCACGTTCTTGCGAGGATCCGCCATTGTACCTGAGACTGCGAACCGGAAGACCGAAAGACAAGAAGATTCCGCGTTCGACGCCTATAATGAGCTATGGAAAGAAGAAGCTACGACCTGAATACTGGTTCAGCGTACCGCGTAACAGGTAAATAAACTTTTCATGCACTATTTTAATGTCTTTTGTATCTATACAGTCACAGATACTCCTGTGTATTGTAGTAGAGATCTATCATGTGAATTTTAATAGCTTCCAAAAATATCTTCATGCATTGACAATAATCAAAACTTTTATTTTTATTTATAATTTCTATGGGTGTATTTTTAAACTACTCGGAAATGATTGGAATCCAAGTCGTCACGAATTCTGAGTATCGGTCATTGTCAAAGAAACGTTTCCAATCCGTGTCTATTTCTGCGTTTCCCTTTACCCGTAATTTCCGCGGAAACGTGGCTCCCGGACCGGAAGAAACGATCAGCCGTGTGCTCGGCTCCTCTAGAGAAGTATTTTCGTACGATGTTTCCAAGAGGACAAAACGGTTCGGATCTGGCCATTGCCGACATTCTTGTGGGCTCGGGCGTCGTGTTATTTTTGTAAATTTGAACGACGAAAACCCCGACAGCGTCCAGAACATACGACCAAGTCACGTGGTATGCTACACGAGTCGCAAAATAGATCGCGACTCCGCCACCGGATTCTCTATTTATACGCCCCCTCGTCTTCTCATTAAAGTTTGTCAACACCGCCATGCGACGATGACTATTTTTCACATAAATCCACGGAGACCCTTGTTTCGCATTCTTCGAATATTCTTCGCGATCATTTTTAGGTTAGATTATCAACGCGTTCGAATACTTCACATAAAGTGTTCGAATAGTGCTAACTCTGCTTCGCAAATCCTTGAAACCGGGATCGATATCGCTGATAATCCCTGTTCAATGACTGCCAAAGCTTCCAAGATCATAAATCATCCATAAATATTTATACAGATCGGATTAAAAGGAAAATTCTCGGACCGTCTTTATAATCTCCCGCATACGTTGTTTTTTAAACCTTGAGACTTCATCGACCTCTTCCCTTTGACGATTAACCGTCATCGATGATAGTCACGTTTCATTGTAACCCGAGCGGTGTTGTTTTCGTGGAGAGAAATTTCGAATATTGTTCCAAGGTTTCTTGGAATCAGCTTTCGAAGAGTAACGGTTAAAAATGACGATCGAATCGTACGCATCTGGTGGCTGTAAAAAAATCTCATTTTACGAGGAAATCGTAAACCTATTTTGTGGTCGTCGAAGTTTTCGTAGCCCTTGAACGTTTTATTTCGTACGCGACACGAGTATGCTAAATTAAATATTAAAATAATCAGATAATAGGTATCTCTGGCGGCATATACCAACTGTGACAACGAAATGTAAATATTCACGCATGTAGTTACAGTTATTTTTTCTATTATCTGCCTACAACTGTGTACGAACACCGAACACTTATGCATACGACGATAGCCTGAATGCATGATGTAATATTACCTCATTACCGCAATGAAGATGATTATAACTGACGTATCCAGTTGTTGTGACCATACGGTACGAGTTTAACATTTAATTACGCGTACAGTAAACCGCCAACGGGGAATAGAGACATTTAATTTTGTACAGTACAGTTACTAATGAAGAAAAATACAAAAAGTTTGTATTTCTTTGAAATTGAAATATACCGGGTAGTCCACGTAAAAATAGGATAGGGTTAGGATTGTATTCAAACTAGAATTTTTAGTTTCAAGAATTTTTTATTAGAAAAGTCCCATTGCAACAGTTTCAACGGAACCTAGCGAACAAGTTGCATAACGAAATACTCTGTTAGTTGTTCCTAGTCGGTAAATTCACCCAAACACCGTAACCTAACCCTCGATTCCCTCTCGATGTCCGATCAGATTTTGATACGCGTACGTTTTAACGGGTACACGTGAATCTAACGAGCACGTCACGTGACACTAGGCGTATCGTCGAACGTGCTCGCAAAACTTTTCCGTTCCATGCTCGACGATCGAGATATTAGTCTAGTCGCGGAAAGAAATCGCGTCGGGGACGCCGCGTTACCTGTCCACGCGATTTGTTCGAGAAAAAAAGATTTTAACTTTCTCGGTGTCAGTGTTGCGTGGGTTTTGTGTCTGTGTGTTTGAATAGCGATGGGATCAAGCGTCCAATAGATCCGAATCTTGACCACAAACCTTCATTCGTCGAATCGTTTGACGAGCCTAGTAAAAAAGACTATATTTATTAAGAGGCATACGAGTATCGCGTAAGAATCGTTTTATTTGTCAATTTCATAAAAATTAAAGAGCTGCTCGAGTAATCTTGATGATCAATTGTCGATTGCAGGCATGAATTAGCTATCGGTTGCAATTAAATATCGCCCAACCGTACGATACGCCTTCAGCATTGACACAGCATTTGTGTTTCATCGTTTCTCCTGTAGGCGGCGCTAGTCGTAGGCATTCGCTCAGATTCGTTGTCAAGTTCGAAACGAACTTTCTTCGTGAATACAACAAATGAAATTCTATCTTTTTAACGATAGTATTTGAACCTGTGAATTGAACCTTGGGTATTGAACTTGATCCCATCGCTGGTACAACTGGTGAGCGTGCACGAGCTCTCTGGAACGGTAATAGCGTTCGACACGGTGATAAACCAACCGAGAAATCGAAAGGACGAGTCTCCCTGGTTGCTTGCTGACCGTCACGCGTTCAGAGATTAGGTAACACAGCTTGGCAGTAGGTACAGCTGGTCCAGGCTGGAAGACTATGTCTCTTGCGCTGTCTTGCTTAGAGAGAATGTACTTATCTCTTTCTAACTTCTTGTTGCTTCACGGTGCTCGGCCACAGAGGCCCCTAGCTTGTTATCTGCTACCCTGTTATCTGCTACCCTGATTGATGGGGAGAGAAGACTGAGAACTCCGATAAGTGGAAGAATGCTACCTATTGTTCTTCCACAGACAAATTTCGAGGAAGTTCCTTTTTAATAATGAAAGATTTTTCAAACAAAAGTTAAATGACTTCGTAATCCGATGTAAATTTTTCCCAGACTTGAACTGTATTTGAGAAATAGTCTATTCTTGATACAAGTCCATTGATTGCAGTTCTATCAATAATGTTAACCTATAAACTGGATTTCTTACGCCATTGTTTTTATTAATGTCTGACAACATGTATTCCTGCGTATGCAAAATAGGGATTTGAATAGATCGTAGTCGAGCACAAGCAAATGATCTTGATAACCGGTTTGCAAGAAGGAAGAACAAGGATTTTGAGATTATTATTAATCTTCGGATAGTGCGTCGGATAAGATAATATTAATGTTGCTACGAGTACACTGCAAAATTCCTTTTTATTTTTAATTATATTTATTTTCTTAAAATTTTCATCTTTCCGAACTACGAGCTATTCTGGTTCTCCTAATGTTAACTCGCTTGTTTCCGGGTATTCGTGCAGCACCGATGGCGTCGTCTCACATCCTCTGATCTGTAAATGCCAATGATAGGAAAACGTCAGTCGGGCTAAATGGTCTTTGTTTGGTAACGCTCGAGGAGAAAAGAGTCGAGTTGAATTTTCAACGTACACGTATTGCAATCGACTTACGTCAGCCCAGGTAATCGCAACAAGTACTTACACGCGATTCAGCCGTGAGTCATACCCGTTAATTCCTCCCCGTCGACGCTAACAAATGTCGCATTAGGATTCTCCTCCGTTGCGTCACCGTGTCGCTCTCGTATCTTTCGACGATACGACTGTCACGTGACGTGCACCGTTCCTCGATTCTCCCTGAATTTCCGCGGCATTGTGATCGTTGAAAAAACAATTGCGTTTGAGCGCACCGCGTGTCTGGTTATCGTCCGAAATGCAGTCGTAGTCGAGCACAAAAATAGCGCCACGAAAGCATTTGCAAGAGTCGCGGCCTACGGTGCGGTGGCGTCTCTCTATTTCCCGGGAGAAAAAGGAGGTCGAGACACGGCGGTGTGTCGCAGCAGAAACATACGGAACGTCCTTGCAGGGCCGTCGACGACTGAAACGCGAATCCTTACGAGAGAAAGTTACGAGTCGGATCGAATATAGTAGATACAGTGCGTTCGAGTGAACTTGTTTGAGATATAAAGACGCTCGTTCCGTATATCAAGATGAGTTGGACGTTAAGCTCCGTCGGCAATGTGGTGAATTTAGTTTATAACGAGCACGTGTCGAACGCCGTGAGAAACATCCTGCCGTTCGTTCATCGAAGGTAGCGTAATGAAAATTATTTTTTATTTTTCTAAAAATTCGATCGTAACTTTTATCTTATCTAGTCTTTAGATAAGACTAGATATAGTCTTTATACCAGGTAATAGTTGGTACTGTGGAACAATTGTAACAAATGTTTAATAATTTAAGAAATAAAAGAAACAATTCATTCTCATCTTCGTTCGTATCAACATTTTTATCATAGCGAGGCAATGAGCTATTATTATCACGGTTATCTCGATCCGTCATAATTCTTCTCGCCCGACGCTGATATTGCACGAGTGTTGACATTCAAAACAAATAACGATTCGATGTATAAAACTTGCCTGGTGTAAACATTCCAATATTTTTGTATTCTGATCTTAAATGAGAATTCTATAATTATTCTTTTTTTATTATCAATCGGACGGAGGCAACGTTCGAATCGCCAATTAACATGCACGCGTTCTTGTTGTTTACAGGGTGGACGACCTCTATAGGTTCATTCACGCGTGGGTGCCATCGCTCTATGGAGAACTCGACGAGAATTATTGGCGGGAACGGGGCTACATCCTGTCGGACACGGACACGGACTTGTCCCCCGAATTGTCGCCGCACGAATCCGGGGAGGGTGGCGAATCGACGGAAGAGGGCAAAGCCCGCGTCCAGGACGGCGACGAGATCTCCGACCTGACGAGAGAATCATGGGAGGTGAGTCTTTCGTTTCGATCATCTCGTAGCTGCACTTCATTCGGTGCCGTTGGGACCTTCGAACCGTCCAACGTTTCATTTTCCCATTAAATCGTTCGTCGTTACCACACTGAACGCTTCGACTGCTCTTAAAACTTGGAAAGAATGCACACTAATATAACAATTTCAATTAGAGAGTATTCTTAATAGATTTGCGAAGTTCTCCCGGTGAGAATGAGTCCAAACATGACATATTTTGGACTACTTTTAATAATAAGTGTAGCACTGTCCCTCAGGTTGGGACATCATTTTCCCTATCGCTTTAATTATATCTTACTCGTTCCTACTGTTTGCCTATCGATCTCAATGCTTCCAACTCGTTGTAATTGTGCCCGTGTCGAGTCTGTGACAACCTGAAAGACAGTTCCATACGTATAATTAAAAGTAAACCGAATGTAGTCGTGTTTGGACTCATTTTCATCGGAGAAACCTTGCCAATCCATTGGTAGTGCTTGCACGAACATATAAAAATATAAAAATTCATGATTCAACATAGTTCAGCGTGGTAATGTACACTCGCGTCGTAATCCATTAATTATTATTTTATATCCATTCGATTATCGTCTTCGTGAATTTGTCGTTTATTTCGATCGAGTTATTACTTCGGTTGAATCATTATGTGGCACCCTTTGGTACGGTTTTGTTTCTCGAGCACTTGTGCGCGTTCACGAAGTTTCTTCTTTTTGGTTTCCCGTCGTCGAGCGCACCAGCTTCGTCTCTCGACATTCCTCGGTTTTCGTTCGTTTCATTGCACGGCTCGTCTCCGCACGATCATCATCCAGCATCATTCCAAACATAGCACCGTATACATATATCGTTTCTTTATCACCTTGTAAGCATCTATCCGAGCTTCTGTTTTTTACGGCCGATGAATTTTTCATTTTTCCAACAAAGGAAAGTTAGCGTTAGCGTGTGCTCGGTACGTCGATCCTCGTGTCGAAGCTATCCAAGTTTCGTGCTTCGAGTAAACTTTTGCCAGGAAGTGCAAACACGCTCGATGTTTTCTTAGCGACGTTAAAATTTGCACGCTTAGCCAAACGTGTGTGTTCGATATGTAAACGACTGGTACCCGTCTCGGTGCCCGGTACGTCGTTACAGAATTCTCCTGTCGTTCGAATCGACGCGAGGATCGAACGTGCTGGACGGCAAGCCAGTAAAGAAATCGCTAAAAACGGCCGATTATATTGGCTAACAGCTGATCAAGGCCCCCTACGTAAAGCTGTACAGCATCCTGAAGACGTCGAGTACGTCGGCGGATTCCGAGCAGATCCAGGACCCGGAGGTACCGAGTTTCCCCGATCCTCCCTTTTTTTTACGGTCGTTTTACACAAGCACCACTGATTGCTCGATGTTCAGTAACGCACCTCCTAGTTTACACAGCCACACCCCCTTCGCTTGTCACGATTCTACGGTGCACCATTGTCGGCGTTGCTGCCCCACCCATCGTTGTCGATCCTTCCGTCGCGCGATTCGCTTAACCCTTTGTCGTCTCGTTGATCAAAATTCTCGAGAACCTAAACGGCGGCCCCATGCTGTATAAGGCAAAGGACCCAATACTAACATAACAGCTACTTCCCACTCCCCCCGCCCCTCATTAAAAATCTTCGAAAAGATGGGAAGATCGGAAAACACTGTTTACGATTGCTTACGTAAAACTGGAAATCCGGTTGGTTAAATAAAATCTATTCGTGGTCTGGAGCATTGAATATAATAATTAGCGTTATCCGCGAATGCTGTAACATTTACAGGTATTGGGTCTTTTACCTTGCCTGTTTGTGTATAGCTTGGATTCCACCACCACCCGCGTTCTTCGCAGACACATTGATCGTTGATTAACGTTTAGATCTCGCGGCATGATTCACAAGCTACTGCACCGCAACACACCACACAGTGCAAAAAAGCAGTCGGTTTGTTTGTCTTGCGAGACGAACGACTGCCTCTGCATATCAGATTTTCTGTTGTAACGATTGCATAGCTTCTATTTACAGCCGACAAACTAATGCATACGCTTCGAATATCTTTTGGATCGAAGCGGTTGCAACTAGTTTTAATAATGATTTGCGCGATAGTACGGTGCTCGAAACAATTACCAGATCAGGTTCATCAGTGACAGACATCGTATGCCGGGCAGAAATCTGATGCAGACTGTTTGAGGTCGTAGGGAAGATTATTAGATCATAACTTCATTCCGGTAGAGAAATATGTCGAAAGAAAATATCTAACCCATCTCTGTTCCGTAACCATGAACCATGTAGCGAAGAAAACAATTCGATTTGTTTTCTGAATTTTTCTATAAAAATCGCACCCTCCAGGGAGGAAGGTTAATGAGTCGTGAATGCTTTTCGGATGATCTTTACCATGACCGATTTATTTCCGGATGATCGTGCGTCACTCCTTCCGTTCAACGGTGGCTGCATTTGCCAAATATGTAGAAATTTTCATCGCGAACGACACTAGTCCCCGGAACAATGAGAGCAACAACTGCGAATCGCAATCTATTTCTGACCAGAATTCCCCGATCCATCGAATGACCGAATATATCTGCGTCGTGATAAAAAAAAAAATTCCTCCGCGTTCTTCGAACATTCTATAGCTGTTTTGTTCGCCCGACCCTGTTTTTCGATCGTTAGAAATCATCAATTCCGTTAATCGTAGCTAATAATAACGCGGGCGGAGCCGTGTGCCAACGTGTGACTAATGTAAATTTAATGGCAATTCTTCGAATATCGAACATATTTTGTTCGGTATTTTTTAGTTCCAAATATTTCGCGGAAATATAGTAAAAAGTTTACGTTGTGGTTAGAACCTCACAGTGTTTGTTAGAGGTTAGGTTAACGTATCAATTTCACTGGAACTGGAATTCTTTTGTCAGAATAATACAACACTTGTCGCACGATAATGTAGTATGAAAGATTCTGTAAGAGCGTGTAAGTAGAATTCTGTACCCTGACAAGAAAACCAGGGTCATGAGGGCACCCTCGGCAGTACGTCCCTCCTTTTTCCAAGTGCCCTGGCCGATCCTCCTTTAAAAGGGGCAAACACGCCAAGAAGAAGCACACGACCTGCTTCAGGCATTTATTTATCTCTACGTTTCTGACAGGTGCTGCAAAAATGTCATGGTTATTTTCACCCGAGCATATTCATCGACGCCAGTGACAATGGAAATCACGAAATCACGTCGTATACTCGTCCGTTAAAAATCGATGTCAGCGAAGGCGAAACTCGACACCAAAAGCTATTTATACGCAGCGAAGTCCGTTGAGTCTCGGAATCGTCCTTATCTTTTGCAGGCAGCTATAGCCGACAACGAAAGAGAAGCACATCGAGTGAGAGCGAATGAGAAAAGAAACACTGTTTTTTCAACTGTCGTCTTTCACGCTTCGCTGGCTTCGAAGGCTTCGAGGGGGGTATCCCCCCCCATTTGAAAGGGATAGAAATGTTCGACTTTCTCGGAATTACGTCTGGAGTTCGCTTCGAGAATCATCGCTGCATTCGCGTCGCACGAGAACCACAGATATAATCTTCGCGGTAGATAGTTTGTTCTAGGCTAGTACTGGTTCGTGGGTGTATCTGGACGAGGTCGGTGCACCGTATTCATCTAGCAGGAATCGCGTTTTGTTTATCGTATCGCTGTGAGTGACTATCGCCTGGCTAAAATTATTCTTCATTCAGCCATGTCGCGCGCGAACATCGTGGAGTTGGCGGGAATGGATCCTCGCGTGGGATCGCGCGGGAACATCGTGTGTATTTGAATCGGTATAAGGAACCGTATTTACGAAACTGTTTGGATTTCTTCGAACAGATTGATCGATTTGTTTTAGCAGATGGTATAAAGAGGACTTTGTACCCGTCGATGCGAGGAAAAAATAATTCCAATACGAATGAAAAATTACGAACGATACGAGTCCATAAATAAAGAACCCGGGGAGTCGCGAACGACAAGCATAATAAATGTGTAGTAGGTCGTATAGATAAGAAGAGGCTTAAGAAGAATCATGACCCTCCAAAAAAGTTTAACTTATCGCAGTAAGCATTAATATTTTCGCACGTACGATCGAGGTCAGGTTAATAACAGCGTATAACTGTATCTCGCCTTTGAACCGTCACGTATCTCTACATTATGTTTTTTTCCCCCCAACTCGAAACTCGATTCACGATGCAGAAATTGATGCAACAACACACGGTACAAGACACGTAAATTATAACATTGACTCCCGGGTAATAACTAAAATTATATTTTACATCCGGTAAGGACCAAACGCTATCGACTTGAAATTTTTATTTATATCCAATACTTGCCTCTAAACGACAATTTTATTTTTATCGTGCCTGGATATACTGTAATTAAAATATTAATACAAAACTGGATCGATAATGCACAAAGCGCGATAAACAGCGAGACATGATGAACCCGATGAACCCGATGAACTCTTCCAAAAATGAAGATCGATGTTTCCGTTCTCGAAATTGTTTCCCCATCGGTTCGAGGACGCCCGCGGAATCTTTAACCTTCGTGGCACAGTTTTTCGGCTCGTTGCCAAGATTCCGTCTTCGTTCCATTAGCCAGAGGCTCGTCTCTCTGCTAAAATTGCTCCGCGGGGCAAGAAAAATGGCGCCAACCTGTAACGCGCAACTGGATCCCGTCAGAGTAAACAATACATTCCGGTTTTTTTCCATCTGTTGCGCGCAATTTTAGACGTACAAACACATCGTGTCGTTTCCTCCGTAGATTTTCCTCGTGTCCTTTCTCTGCTTTTCGAAAGTAGAGTCGTGACGATAAAAAAAAAGAAACATTTCTTTGTCCGAAAATAAATTTTCTTACGGTTCGCTCTACGATCCGACGTCTCGACGTTAATCGTCCCGCGTTTTCTCATCGTGGTTCGAAGAAACTTCGGGGAAACGCAAGACCGCGTGCATAGTTTATATGCCGGCCTTTAAACGATGAGAACAGAAAGTGCAACTACGATACGATGGCTGCACGCGAGCAGCTGGTTTTCTCAAAGCGAACACTAGTTAAGAATTAATTCCGCGACAGCCTACATTCCTACGGTGCTCCGTACTCCCTGCAATTGAGGGCTCGATCGTGTTTATCGCTGCACGGTGCACGTATACCAGAGAGTAAAATGGACCGTGAATCGTTAAGAGAATTTTTAGACAGCATTATTTCTTTTTTTCTGTTTTATTTTTGGCAGTATTGTTACCGGACGAATTCCATTAAAATGAGTCAGATTCGTCGTTTCTTATCAGCGCAAGTAAGCACCCTCGTCGCGGATACGTATTTACTTTTTTAAATCGACAGATGGCATTTATGATTTATAAATTGAAAATGGACTACGGTTTAACGACGCATAATTTCCAACTTGTGTTGCTCATAATCATCACGTGTGAAAAAATTAAATTTACGATATGTCGGTCATGTTCGTTTCGTGAGGTGTGAATTAGCCTTAAGTAGCTCTGGCCACCACTGTAAATAGATGAACGATCTCTTCTCCGAAAAGGTTGTGAATTGAAGTGAAAAACAGTCGATTATAATTTCATTACATTTATCGTGTGTCACGCTATTTGCTTTGCGTTCCGTGTGATTATGATACACGTCGAACATAGAAACGTGAAATTGCGTGTTGCACGTAACAAGAGTACAGATAAAATTCTTATCTATATAAAACTATCACGCGTTAAATAAAAATATTATTTAACAATTATAGAATAAAATATTTTATGAGAAACGGATCAAAATTCATAGATTTCTATGCAATATTTTTTTTGTTAATAATATATCGTACAACTTTATTCGGATCTGTACCTTGTTTAATGGGTTAAAATATGTCGTGTGCGGAAGCACGTGATTTTCTCAATTGGCACTCCGGACGGCATAAAATAATTTGAAAAGGAGGGAAAAACAGAAGATTGCCGTAGCCACGATGAACTTAAATTGAGTTAGGAACTAATCATGCAGTTAACTTCTCTTTAAATGATCATTAATCGAGACAAAGACGGTAAATATGTTCAGGGACTGAATAGAGTTTGAACATGCAACAGAAAACTTGTTCGACGGAGGCAATATTTGTTGTTGCATTCAGTGCGGACGTGACCATTTGCACGTACCGTTGGTCACGTAGCGCACGAGGTAGCACCATAAAAGCTTTAGCTCTCTATTCATTGTCGAATTTCGTGAAACCCTCATTTAAAACTAATCGGTGGAAGCAGAATTTTCCTTCGAATCACAAAGCGCGTTCAACCATAAATAAGTAAAACATAATAACAATATCAAACTTCGGTTTC